GGAGGCTCGGAGGCCCAGTAGATATGAATGGATTATTTTAGTTGCATGCAACGTCTGTCGGGTTGACCCGAGTTGAAAGTCAATTTCTAAAAATATGAAATTTCCTTCTACTATGGTAGCTCGTATTAACAAATTTCCTTTTCTACCATAGTAGTGGTCTTATGAAAAGTATTGATGTTTAAGCAAAAGGGTTTTAGAGGAGGGCTTTACATGGGGAGTGAAGGTTCAGAAGCTTTGGTTATGTAGGAATGAAGCTACTTTTAACGACCTTTTAATCAAGTCCTTTGATTCAATGAATTTGATTAAATATACTTGGAAAAAATTTTGCTATCCGATCTGAACCTGTAAAGCAGCCTTTAACAAGTCAATGTTCACATATGCATGTGAATTGATCTTGTCCAATGGAAGGCTAGGTGAAAATGAATGTTGATGGGGCAGTGGCAAAAAATTACAGAAGAACTGGATACGGTGGTGTTATTAGAGATCACAATGGGAACTGGATAGTGGGATTCCCTTTTCAAATTGGAAAATGAGTGTGATAGAGGCTGACACTTGGGCTACATTTAAGGGGTTAAATCTACCTTGGGACTTCGGCTTTAAACAGATTATTGTTGAGTCTGATGCAAAAATGGTGATTAATAGGCTGGCCAACAAGAGTTTTAATGCTTGGTGTAATTTCATTATGGAATCGATCAAGAATTTGTTGTTTTATAATTGGGAAGTGCAATCGCAATATGTTGCGAGGAAGGGAAATGAAGTTGCTAATATTCTAGCAAAAAAGGGAATCACTTCATCTACTTATTCTGATGTGTGCCTGTGTGATTTGAGGGATCTTGTGCACAAGGACAGCTTGGGATTTAAGCCCTCTGTGTGTTGGTTTTATTTTTGTTTTGGGCTAGGCCTTTTGTATCGGCGAAAAAAAGGACTGCATGGTGTAAAAATTCATACTCTTTCTTTCTACCAAATAATAATAATTATATGAACCTTATTTGATTCGAGTTAGTCAAAATTTAATGTGACTTCTAGAAGTTGATATATTAAAAAGACTACTCATTTGATTCTTAATGTATGACCTAATTAAAAGATTAATATTAGTCCTATATGTAAGACCTATTTTATATGCTTATCATTTTTTTTTTCAAATTAATCCGATTACTATTTCCCAAACAATAATCAAGTAGAAGAAAAATAGAGGAAATTATGAAAGATGTTTAGGGTATTTTAGAAAAAATATATCGTATTAACTAATTTAACTAACATCTTTAATCTATTCCAATTAATTAATTAGATGTTACGTTAAGTACTGGAGTAGTATATCATTTGTGTCTTATCAAAATAAGAAGGACTTCTGATTTTTAAGTGCATATCTTACGTGTCTTAGTGAAGGAATCAAACTAAAAGATAGACTGTGAGAATGATAATGATAACAATGAGAGCCTAACTCTTTAGAAGGAGGGGAAGAGTAAAGAATTTTAAAACATCTCAATCGTTACTATTTCTTCCAAAAGTGAGAAAGAGGGAAACAAATCTTTATTTTTTCTTGAGCACACATCCTTTCATTGGAAACAAGTTTGTTCATGGTATTATGGGATATTAAATGTGAGTACCTTTTTCAGTGAAAATTTATATCTTACTTCGTCATGTTATGAGATATTAACTCTTTTTTACTAGATTTAATTCTTTTTGTTAAAGCATAGGTATCCTCCTATTATAGGTAATCCTATTCGAGATATTGTCGGTAGGGGTGGAAACAGGCCAGGCGGCCTGTCAGGGGCCTACAGCCTGGCCTGTATTTGGCCTGGCCTGGCCTGTTTTCCAAAAGAGACAGGCTCAGGCCTGTTTGAAGGCCTGTTAAAGTTAATAGGCCAGGCTTAGGCTCTCTAAAAGGCCTGTTAAGCCTGTTAGGCCGGCCTGAGCCTGTTAAAAACTTATAATTATAATATATAAAAAAATTAGTTAATGGTATTGTTAATGTGTACTTTTAATTTATTTTTTAATTTTAATATATAGTTAATAGCTTAGTTCTTCTTTAGATTTTGAAGTTTAGTTGACAAGTAAAGATAAAAATATAATTTAAAATAAAAATATCAATAAATAATATGATCTTTAAATCTTACAAATATAAATAAAATAGGAAAGAAATTTTTTGTTCCAAGAATGACAGATTAATTAACTTATGTATTATATTAATTAAATTATGATACTCTCTTTATTCATTGTAAAATTAATAGTTTTTTTTATTTATTTGTCTTAATTTTTTTGGTACTTAAACATAGTTTTGTCCCAAATTTTAACATATAATTCGAATTAGTTTTCAATAATATCCTTATAAATTATAATTAAGATTTAAAACAGCACCTATGATACTAAAATTTAAATAAAAGACAAAACTAAAAAAATTAATTATTATGTATACTTTTTTAATTTTAGCTTTTTTCTAAAAAAAATATTGTAATTTAAATTTTTTTAAAAAAACAGGCTTTTTAACAGGTTTCAGGCCAGGCCAGGCCTTTATACAGGCCAGGCTCAGGCTGAAAAATAAGCTTGTAACAGACCACAGGCCAGGCTTAGGCCTATAGGCTACAAAACAGGCCTGGCCTGTTAAGAGTAAAGCCTGGCCTGTTTCCACCCGTAATTGTCGGGCACTAAATATGGGCACCTCTCCTACCGAGAATTCAAACTTTGATTTACCACATTATAGGAGATTAATCCCTTCTATTAGACTCAACCTCCATTGGTTACTAGATTTAATTCTGTTGGTGAAGCTAATGTTTAGTTACAACAGTATTCGAAATTGAGGAATGCCCAACTTGACCATAATTTGCATGGACAGTTATTCTCGACCCATTATATTGGGGCATGTATGACTGTGGGCTGGCCCATCTCCAAGAGAAGGTACGCATGATGGTTACGTTGCGTCCCTTGCACTTCAAATGAAATACTATTCATGCTGCAGAAAAGGAAGCAAAGGCGGTGCGTGAAACTTATAAATCATCACCATCATCCACACATAATAAATTTCCACGCATCAATATTGAATATATACTATAATTTAATATATTCAATATTAATACATAATAACAATAAAATTTCCTTTCTTTATATATATATATATATATATATATATGTAGAGCTATAAATCTAACATCAACCATACTATTTATGATTTTTGAATAGAGTCATGTTTGTGGTGGGGTTAAGTATTAAACATAGACACACATGTTAACAATAAGTTACTTTAACTGCAGCGCCGCTTATTACTCTTAAATAAAGTCCACATGTTTATGTACGTCCCTGTGTTTAGTTATATAAAATGAAAAATGTAAGCACATATTTTTAAATCCTAGTTGGATACTCTAAGTACGTATTCAAACATAGTTTTAGGGCACGTGGTAGATTAATTTTTTTCTTAAAAAAATATTATATAAAAATAATTTATTTAGAGTCTATCCTTGGGCTATGAACATTGAACAAGTTATGATATCTACAGTATCAAATCATGTTGATAATCAATATTGATATGAATTTGAATGTTCTTTTTTAGGGTTAATTAATTCGCAAGTCCTTATAGTTTCAACGAATTTTAAATCAGGTCCCTATAGTTTTTTTTCTTTTTATCAGGTCCTTATACTTTTATCTTTTTTTAATTAGGTTTTTGTATTTATTTTTCTTTTAATTAAGTCCTTATAATTTCACTAAATTTTTAATCAGGTCCATGTAGTTTTAATTTTTATTTATTAATTAAATATAAGCTTAATTAAATAGATTAATACTGAAATATAAAATATTAATAATTAAATTAAATTAATAATTATGTAATAAAAAAGTAATCGAATTAATTAATTCATAAAATTTTTTTAGAACACTTAATTTTTTTGCTGAAAAAATTAAAATCATTATAATAATTCAATATCTTTAGAATATTATTGTTTATAAAGTAATATTAAATAATATATACTATTTTATGTTTATATAATAGTACTATTAGAATTTATAAAATAAAGAATAAAAAATTTAAGGACTTAATTAAAAATAAGGTGAACTTATAAGGACTTGATAAAAAGAAAAATAAATACAAGGACCTAAATAAAAACAGGTGAAAGTATAAGGATCTGATAAAAAGAAAAAAAACTATAAGGACCTAATTCAAAATTAGTTGAAACTATAAGGAGTTGTGGATTACGTATCCCTCTTTTTTATGATCCCAACTTAATATGAATATTCATTTTTTCCCCAAATTAATATAAATATTCATTGATATATGAAAAGAAGGAATAAATGAGTAGTCACAAACATTGAACGGTGGCATGGCTCATCAGGCAATTTTAGTGAGGTGCGGGCCCATATTTAGTTAATCATTAAATTTTTTTGAGAAATTAATCTTTTGATCCCTATAGTTTTCACTAATTTATAACTCAGTCCCTGTACTTTGACTCGGTACAACTCAGTCCCTCTAGTTTTGACTCGGTTGTAACTCAGTCCTTGAAATTTGACTCGCTGTAACTCGATCCCTATAGTTTTAACCATTTTATAATTTAATCTCTCCTTTTATTATATATATAATTTTATTTTTCAAAAATACAAGGACTAAATTATAAAATAGATAAAACTATAGGGACTGAGTTGCAGCGAATCAAACTTCAAGGACTGAGTTACAAACGAGTTAAAACTAGAGGGACTGAATTACACCGAGTCAAAGTATAGGACTGAGTTACACATGAGTAAAAACTATAAGGACCAAAAGATTAATTTTCCCAATTTTTTTAGGTGAAAATAAATCTTTTAAAAATTTCAAGTTGTTAGCAGATCTGAACCATTGGTCAACCGACATCAAATAACTGAACAACGTGGCAATCATCTGACGGTCAAGCTGATGACTGCGTTCCTTTTCAGCACTTTTTCGCTGTTCGAACTCTCCATATAACGCCCGGTTGCTTGCTTGGTTTCTCTTTGCACTTCGCCGTCTCCGTTACTGATCAGTTCCGTCTCTAACCCTAGCAAATAATCGTTTCTTTCTAAATCCCAACATGTCCAGCGCCGAGCCCGAACACCGTGAAGAGGAGGAGGCCCCCGCCGGCGAGGACGAGGACACCGGGGCTCAAGTTGCCCCGATTGTTAAACTCGAGGAAGTTGCCGTCTCTACCGGCGAAGAAGAGGAGGATGTTCTTCTCGACTTGTGAGCAAATAATTATGGAGTATCCCCCCCCTATCTTATTAGTTATTAGGGTTTGAGTTGTTTAGTTGCTGAAAATCTAGGTTTTTTTGCTCAATTATAGAAAATCGAAGCTTTACCGATTTGATAAGGATGGGAACCAGTGGAAGGAGAGAGGCGCGGGTACTGTGAAGTTTCTGAAGCACAAGGCTACTGGAAAAGTTAGATTAGTGATGAGGCAATCGAAAACCCTTAAGATCTGCGCTAATCATCTCAGTAAGTCTGCTTCTTGATCCGTTTTATCTCCAGTTCTTTTGCTTTTTGATCTTCTTGTATTAAATAGCATGTTTCCTTGTCATCCCTTGCAGTTATACCATCAATGACGGTGCAAGAACATGCTGGGAACGAAAAATCTTGTGTTTGGCACGCGAGTGATTATGCCGATGGTGAACTAAAGGATGAGCTTTTCTGCATTCGATTTGCGTCAATTGAAAGTATGTTTGCGCGTTTGGGTTATGTGAAATTCAGTTCGAACTATCTGTTGAATACTATGCTGCTCGTCTGCTCCTAAATGGAAGAACCATTATGGATCTTACATTTAGGACAGGAGGAGTAATATATATTACAGCTATTGTTCCTTAGGTTTACTGGCTCTTACAGTTCAAGCTGATTTTGTTATTTGTGTATGGCGAGTATAGTTTCTCTGATCGTCTGGAAATTTAATCTTTGATTAATTGTGGTGGCAATCGTAGTCTTCCTCCTTTGTATTTGTTTGGTTCAAAAAGGGATATTTTGGTAGACGATCTTCACTTAGTAATGCGTAATTATGTAGATCATGTTCCTAAGAGGTTCAAACTTGTCATTCTGCTTTATTCTTGGTATACTATGAATTAACTGCCCACATCGGATGTGTGACATTTAGTAATGTTCTGCCCACTCCCCTAAAACCAATGAAGGGGTGATCTTTATGTGGTCTAATGTTAAAATGTTTGCTTGCCACGTACTACACTGTTGATAATTAAGACAAAATTTTCAGGAGAACTACATGCCTTATGTATTCTATTTCATAGGTCTCATAGATTTCTGTAATTATGATCACAAGTTATAGGATTTTGTTTTTCATGTTGTCTTTTAGACTTCATCTATGGAGCTCTGTTATTTAGCCATGCCCACTGGAGTTTTATGACTTCACTGAAGGAAGCTGATTTCAGTAGTTTGTTATATATTTGAACTGAAATAAAAACAGGTTCACGGATCACCACAATAAGATGGATGTTGAGGTTTTGGATATTAATTTAAGCTCATCATAATGATGGTCTCGAGGCGTTAGAAGAGAGTAATGGAGCTGTTTCACAATCCATTTTATTAGTGTTGATAGTTCTTAGAAGCCTCGTGGTCTGGGACCCAGTTGAAATGTGGGTACACATAGGCATTCTCACCTTACATGATGACGTGCAGACTTTCTAGAGTTGCAACCTTATATTTTTAATATTTTTCTTACTTTATCAAGAGTTCATTATATTGTCTCAGTGTTTGAAGTGAAATGGTTTATGATCACATTCAAAGGAGAGTGAATGAAGGATGTTATGTTCCTTGCTTAGTGATTTGCATGTGATCCATGTAATGATGTGCACAAATTTTAGCTTCTTTCCCCCCTTTTTGGGTTGTCTGCAGTGTGTTAATGCAGTCATGGATGAGGGTGGGGTATTGAATAGTTGTATAATTTGCATTTCTTTTGATCCAGACAAGAGTATAGGCAAGAATATGATGTTTTGCGTTGCCACTGAAAAACATTATTATCTTTTGTATCTTCATATACTAACTGGCGCTTTGTCTTCTCCAATAGATTGCAAAACCTTCATGGAAAAGTTCCAAGAGATTGCTGAATCCCAGAAGAGTAAAGAGGAAAACAAGGATGCAACTGCTGCTGCGGGTCTCCTTGAGAACTTGAGTGTTAAAGAGAAGGAAGAAGCAGAGAAGAAAGATACGGAGAATAAAGACACTGAAAAGAAAGAGACAGAGAAGGAAGAATCTGAGAAGAAAGAGACAGAGAAGAAAGATGCAGGAGAGAAAGGTGATGAGCCTGCATCCTCGTCAGCTTAAGTATAATATTTTCATATTTGATTATTTCCTGCTACTTAGGAACATGGCAAGGCTTGGTTCCTCTTTTCTGCCCTCATCTTGGGATGTTCAGTCTTTGGATTGTGTCATGTCATGGAAAATGCTATTGAGAGGTCTGTTTTGTCTGGAGTCCTTCAGAGGAGTTTGGTTCGGTTTGAAGTTGTTGAGGGTTGTGATTCTGGGATCTGGGAGTTTACTAGTTTAGTTTAATTTGTTGCTAGTTTTCATTCATGTCGGTTGGGAGGTTGCCTTCGGGATCTAGCGAAACAGAGGTTTTTGGATACAAAATTGTTTGATTTGCACATTTTTTTCAAGAGTTGATTCTACGCCGGTATAATCACTTGCGGCTGTATTTTCTCCTTTTCTGAGCTGAAAACTAGGCTTCATATTTATGCCTAACTTTTTAAATCAGTCCAATTTTTAATGGGAAATTGGAATGAGTTCAACTTGAAAAACTGGAGAAGTTGGGCGTAAAATCTGAGTAAAGAGAAGATGCAATATGAACGGGTAAACAAATATTTAAAAGTTTTTAATTCCATTTTTAAGAGAAAATGACAAAAAAAATTGCCATGCTGATTACTTTTGTAAGGGCTTTGATTATTTTTGTAATGTCAAAATAATTTATATCATTTTGAGTTGAGTAGGTGTATTTTTGTCCCTTTTTAAATTTTTTTTTTATTGTCTTCGTGTTGGGGAGCGCAGGATGGAAATCGAAGTCGGATAAATAAGATGCTTATTGCTAGTTTTTCCTGCTCTTTTCTCCAGCAATTTAGGTCTTTTCGTGGAAAAGCACTCTTGAGCCTGTTTTATTGGGGGTCTGATTGGATGGATGTGAGATGAAAAATTTTTTTTGGGGGGGGGGGGGGGGGGGGGGAGCGAGGATGGCGGGTTTTGTGCTGTGGGGGAGCTGCTGGAGAGCGAGTACATGTATGTTTACACGGTGAATCTGTTGTAAGCAATATGAAAGCTCGAGTATGTTCTTAAGGTTCGTTTTTAATAAACCAGAAAAAAAGGGAGAGATGAATAGAAAGTGACGGATGACCGATGCTGTGTCACCTTCTCTCTTTAATATGAAAAGAGTTGATAACTAATTCATAAATATTAAAAAAAATTAGTTAAATTAGTTATTTTTTTTTAGTGAAAGTTAAATTAGTTATTTGTTATAAATATGAATTATTTTTTTAAAAATTATGTATATTAAATAACCGGAATTACTTACATTTTTTTATAATTAATAAGAATATTTAAAAAAAAGATAAGAGATACTGAATTAAGTTTTTATATTTAGGATTAAATTTAATTTTTAACTAGTTTTTATATTAAAAATTAGAACTAGTAATTCATATTTCGCTTGTTAATTATCTGCAATTTAAGGGATGAGGGTGAGCGAGCAAGCTTGTTTTTGTAAATGAGTATGTTTTAATGAATTTACTTAATAACATAGATAAATAGGCCGCTGTTTTTTTTTTTTTGGTTGACAATAGGCCACTGTTTACAAAAAGGAGAATTGACTTGAAGTATCTTTTTAGGTGTGTCTAATATGTTAAAAAAATTTTTTGGTGTTTCTAACACCAAGATAAGGTATTATTGAGTATTAAATATGAGTATTACTCCTAATAAGAGTTAAAATATTGTATTGTCACGTTGTGAGTGATTAGTTTTTTCTGCCAGATTAATCCTTATTAATACTAAATATGAGATTTTAATTTGCTCTATCTCTGAAATTTGTACTCAATTTTTTTCTTCAAAACATCACTATTGATTGCACATAATATAAAAAGATTTCTATCAAGAGATAATTACAATGCACATGATTGAACAGTGTATTCTAAAAAATTCAATGCACATTTTTTGAATAATTTGACTAATTTTTTTAATATCTAAAAATTAATTATTCAATTTTTATATTGTAGGCGGAGGGAGAATAAAATAGCTGCAACAGATACTTGCTACAAAGTCATAGGGTACGGGAAGACGTTCCATTGGTTGCGTTTCATGCGTACACTTGTTGCATTCATGTGACCCACAAGGAGTTAATGTGCCCTTGCTGTTACTGTTCAAAAGTTCTACCTCCGATTGATTTGCCGCAGAAAAAAGGCATATTACTTTGAAGTCTCATTCACTGATTGACTTGAGTAAAAGTCGATTATTCAATTTTATCAAAATCATTTTTTTATAAAAATTTATTCTTAAAATCGTCCTTTTCTGAAAAACTATTTTTGAAATCATAATTTGGATTCATCCAAACATCTTCTAACTCTAACTCAAGATTTTATGTTTATAAGTAGCCAAAACTACTTTCACCAGAACCACACTTTTTGGTTATATGTGGAGCTTTTTTACTATGCAATATAGGATCACTCATTGGACACAGACACATTGGACGTTCTTGATTATCCTTACCATTAATTATCTATCTTCAAATCAAGAGAATCAACAATAACATGATGATTTTCGCTCTTCACAAATTTCCTAATCCAAGACTCAACACTCCGATTTAATTTTCAATACTTAGGTCCTCAAAAATTTTAAAGCAAAGAGTTACTGATGCAACAGTACTTTATTAATCTTTAATGTGACTTGTATAGATGCTGGTCATCCGTCACAGGATTAGTGGTGATGAGAGCCTCTAGGACATCCACAATTAGCATAGGTCAAATTGATTGATTAGCCTAAATTTAAAACTTAGTGCTGTATATGTTGAGCGGAGCTCCTTTTGCTAAATTTTTGCTATTGCATTCTGTAGAACATTCTGGGAAGTCCCATTTGCAAAGAGGAAGCTTTTTTTTTTTTGGACCAGCAAGCAAAGAGGAAGCTTATTACTTTTTGTTATATAAAATATATTCATGGACTTTATATTATGTATTGCTTATTGGGTGCAAATCAAGCTGTCACATTTTTTTTTTTTTGCTAAAGCATAGGTATCCTCCCATTAGAGACAATCATATTCGAAGCACTGTCAGGCATTAAATGTAGGCACCTCTCCCAATAGAGATTCGAATCTTGGTTTACCACGTTATGGAGGATTAGTGGTGAGAACCCACAAGGGAAAAATCCCACGAACCCACAACCGATCTGAATATACGCACCCCAAGAACGTAAACAAAGGTCTGGTGATCTACTTGAACCCTTGAACACGGAAGAACAAGGACCCGAAGTGTTGAAAGACGCCACAAGATTGATCAAGCCTTGATAAGTCTGTTAGTTCAATGAAGAACCCTAGAGAGAACTCCTCTCAATCAGAAATTGCAAAATGCAAGTTTTCATTCAAAATTCCCAATCTCCTCCCAAAATGAGGGTTACAATATCTTATAGAGGATACATTTAAGATCTGACCTAAAAAGCATTAAATGCAATCTAGAAAATCAAAACATAATAAATTCATAAGGACTTGATTTAGGTAACTTGGAAATTCAAAAGTCAAATCTGCCAACTAATTATGAATTTTCGCACAAATGCATTTAATGAAATATAATCAGCATATCAAGCCCAAAATATGATTAATTAGGCCCAAATGAGTCTTCTCATGTGTTGTACTTGATCCAAGCTCCTTAAATTGAAGTCTCCAAGCCCAAGATATGATCAGTAGCTCCATTTTCAGCCCAAATGACATTAGTGACATCCTCAGCATTTTTATCCAGATTTGATACTCCAATAAATGCCATTTGCTTTGTCAAGGTGTCTTGCACTAGCCCACTCAAAGCTTCCTTAATTCTTTTAGCTCTTGCTCTTGTGATTGGTCCAGTTGGGATTTGCAATGGATCATTGGAAGTTGAGGAGTTAGCTTGCTGTATCGCATCATTCCCCCTCTTCTCAAAAGGATTCGACCTCGAATCATCACCTTCTTGACAATGCATCAGCCACCACATTTTCTTTACCTTTCTTGTATCTGATGACATACGGAAATGTCTCAATAAATTCCAGCCACCTTGCATGTCTCTTGTTCAGCTTACCTTGATCCTTAATGTGCTTCAAAGATTGATGATCAGTATGAATTACAAATTGTTTAGGCCAAAGGTAGTGTTGCCAATTCTCTAATGCTCTTTTAAGTGCATAGAGCTCCTTGTCATATGTTGGATACTTCAAGGCTGCTCCATTCAACTTTTCACTAAAATAAGCAATTGGCTTTCCTTCCTGAATCAGAACAGCTCCTATTCCAACTCCAGATGCATCACATTCAATCTCAAAAGTTTTGTTAAAGTTAGGCAATACTAATACAGATGCAGAACACAATTTATCCTTAAGCCTAATGAATGCAACATCTTGTTCTTTATCCCATTTAAAACCAACAGACTTTTTAATAACTTCAGTGAGTGGTGCAGCAAGTGTGCTAAAATCTTTGACAAAGCGCCTATAAAAACTAGCCAAACCATGAAAGCTTCTCACCTCAGTTATGCTTTTAGGTGTTGGCCATTCTTTAATAGCTCTTATCTTTTCTTCATCAACTTCTATTCCTTTAGCACTCACCACAAAGCCAAGAAAAACAATTTTATCCATACAAAAATCACACTTCTTCATATTTGCAAACAATTTTTCCTTTCTCAAAACATCAAGCACACAATGCAAATGATTCAAATGCTCATCAAGATTCTTGCTGTAAATCAGAATGTCATCAAAATAAACCACAACAAATTTCCCAATGAAAGCACGCAAAACATGATTCATTAATCTCATGAAAGTACTAGGTGCATTAGTTAACCCAAATGGCATAACTAACCATTCATACAAACCATGTTTTGTTTTGAAAGCAGTTTTCCATTCATCCCCTTCCCTCATTCTAATTTGATGGTATCCAGATTTCAAATCAATCTTAGAAAAGACAATAGAACCATGCAATTCATCAAGCATATCATCTAATCTAGGAATGGGATGGCGATACTTTATAGTGATGTTATTCACAGCTCTGCAATCAATGCACATCCTCCAAGTTCCATCTTTCTTTGGGACCAAAAGTACCGGAACAGCACAAGGACTCAAGCTTTCTCTAACATATCCCCTTGCCATGAGCTCTTCCACTTGCCTTTGAAGTTCCTTTGTCTCTTCTGGATTGCTTCTATAGGCTGGCCTATTAGGAATTGTTGCTCCTGGAATGAAATCAATTTGATGCTCAATTCCTCTAATGGGTGGTAATCCAGGTGGAATCTCCTCTAGGAACACATCAACATATTCCTGCAATAAAGAACTAACAACACTTGGAAAGGAAGAGTTAATGTCATTAATATCCAAAAAGGATTCCTTGTAAACAAGGAGAAGCAAATGTTGTTCAGCCAAAAAGGCATTCCTCACTTCACTTTCTTTTGCATAAAAACTCAATTTCTTTTTCTCTTTTCTCTCTTC